TCCGACATAAGTGAATCTAGCTTATTTTTAAACTTCCAGCCTTCTGTATTATGAGAATTGAATGTTCAAACTGCCCAGCCTGTGTCATTTTGATACAACAGCTCAGGTGAATAGAGACACTATATGTGCAGCATCATTTGGCATTCAAAGACTGTTTCTATAAAAATGGCTTTAAAAATCCTCAATATATGCATGATGGAAAGTAATTTTCCTCACAAAATAATTCCCACGAAAGCAGCATATGTTTGACATGTGAGAAGATGCAGAAGGAAACCAGTGAAGTGCTAATAACTGTCTGGAACTCCATTAGTAGATATTGGTCACTCCTTTTCTGAGGGTCAACAGGTCTAAGAGACCATGTTGCACTCATAATGTTGTAGAGATATTTCAGGGCTTATAATCAATCAGAGGAAGAAAGACAAATAACTAGATGATCTTATTCACCCATAGGAAATAGTGAAGCAAGAGCAAGGGAATAAATAGGTAAAGGTAAAGGTAAAGGCCCTCCCGTTAATCGTCGATTTGCTCGAGCGGGCCCAGTAACGTCTCCATTGGAGGCTTTGTTGTTACTGTGTCTGGCATATCGAATACTCTCGGTAGCTTGCCGGGCTCTCCGAGAGGGGCGGAGGAATCGAACCTGGGTTGGCCTTGTTGGCCGCTTGTAAGGCGAATGCCCTACCGCTGTGCTATCTCTCCAGCCCAAGGGAATAAATAGCCAAATGAAAACAGAGAAGGGGAGTGGGCCCAATGGACTGCGATGGAGGGATATAGGTACATAGTTGGCAGCTGTGAAAATATATTTAAATGAGGTATAAAGTGTCCTTAAACATATTTCATCTTGTAAACCTATATAATCTGAATTAAAAAATCAAATGTTTTACACATGTTCCAAAAATATTGAGAAAGACTTGTGTTTCTTTGCTTAGATTTCTTAATGTTTGTTATCTCTGGTGAGAAAGGAAGTGATCCAACTCTGTGAGGAGAGGGAAGATGGGATTCTAGTGTGGTTGGTAGCCTTGGTTATTGTGCATTATTCATGTACCTTCATTGCTGTAAAATAGATAGACAATGTAAAGTTTAACATGGAGATACATTTGGATTTCATTTCTTTACTAGTCTTTTTAGATCACTAAAGTATGAAATCAGAATTCAAAGTTTTGTGAATAAAGCTCTGAGAAATGTTTTGGCTTGATTTCTGCTGGTATCAGTAAACTAGCACTTGTGGAAATGCATATTCTGTAATTACTGAGCATTTAAAATTAATTCTTATCAGAAAATAGTTTTCTAATTGTACTATCACAAATGAACTATGAAGTGGAACTTGATGATATATTTCCCATTTTGTAGCACTTCCTATAGTAAACACTAAGAAATTATATATTAAAAAGAAAACATCATAGAAGTGATAAACGATCCCATCACTCAAACATGTTCTATGTTTCTGTGTCATAGCCTGCAGTGCTCAAGTCTTACTCCAGAATCTGGGTTCAAAGATCACTCCTGGTGGGATTTGGGGGACCATTAGGGGTGCTGGGAATTGAACTTGGCTCAGCCATGTGCAATGCAAACACCCTACCTGATATACTATTGCTCTGGCAACATTTCTGTGGGGTTTTTTGGGGTGTGGAAGTGAATTAATTTGAGACAAAGAACATATTTTTTTTCCTACAAAGCAAAATATGATAGGCTAATGATTACTTAAAAAATTGCCTATAGGTACTGGAGAGATAGTACAACAGGTAGGAGATTTGCCTTCATGAGGCTGACCCAAGTTCGATTCCCTGTGCCTTATATGGTCCATGAACCCTACTGAGAGTGATTCCTGAATACAGCTGAAGTAAGCCTGGAGCACAGTCAGATGTACCTCCACTCCCCCCAAATACCCTGTAAAGTCTAGACTTTGTGATTACTTTTGTGGAAATAGAGCCAATATTCACACAAAAAATCAAAATCAGGGCACGGTGGATGTGAGTGTATGTGCACATACATGTGCGCACACGTGTGCACAGGTAGGTGTGAAGATGTGTTTGAGATAGAGCCTGAAGGACTTGAATAATAATAATATTGTCCTATTTACATTATGAATTTGTTGTTGAGATGCGATGTGGAAGAACTATTTAAGTCAAGCCGTCTTAGTTTGCCCAAAGTGCAGGCTTTACTTCTAATCTTCATTTTCAGAACTAGAGGATACGGAAAAGGAGAAAGGTGTGTTGAGGGTAAGAAGAATGTAATTTCAGAATCAGAAGTGCTGAGTAAAATGAATTCTGGTCTTTTCAGCAACATACTATAGGTTAATTTTATCAATCAGTAACATCTAGCAACACTATGTGAGATCTTGTGAGAATCGAATGAAGGTAGGACTTTGACATCTGTATCTTCATTCTAAGGTTTAAACTTCTTCCTGTGTTTTCTGGAAGTTATAAGGAGAGAAGTTGAACACTGACTTCCTGTCTCTGCTTTAAACTCAGTCTCCCGCCCCCCCCCCCCCCCCATGCGCCCCGGACACCACCCAGTCCAATTAATTCAAGTTTAACCAAAAAGCTTCTCCTGCTCATGTCTAATTTGAATTTGTTGGGTCTCTGGGAGATAAGCATATCTCTTTCTATTTGATGGTGAGATGAGACACGGAAAGAATAACAGCATTTTGAGGAGTAGTTGAAACTTTTTATGTCTTGTATTTTGTTTTCACTTACTGATAATAACATGTGTTATCATTGATGTTCATAACAAATACAGAATTGGAGTTTTAAAATCCCAAATTTAAAATTCTCTTTGAAGAATAAAGGAAAAATTTTAGGCCTTACAAATCAAAATGATGACTGGGAGATTTGCAGCTGAACATAGTCATTTACAACTGTTTTTCGCATCCACATAGTTTTCATAGATTTTTAAAATTTATTTATTTATTTATTTTTTAATAGTGACACATCATGAGGTACAGTTGCAGACTTACACATTTTTGTGCTTGGGTTTCAATTATACAATGATCAAATACCCATCCCTCTACCAGTGCCCATTTTCATAGATGTTGTTGACTGCAGCATTTTATTAATGGGGAGTTCATTTATTTCTATTGAAAAGAGAAACATGCACTGGGAATTATGAAGTCCTGCTTATTGCAGAGAGGAAGCCTGCTTCTCTAAGCCACACTCCCTATCATTCCCTAATACCAACTTTGACAAATGTCAAAATTTCCATGCTTAACTTTTGCAGGACTTTGCACTAATGAATCTACTCTATATTGAATAATTTTCGAAGAATTTTTTACTGTCAATTTTTATTGGTTTAGTCTCTCCAGCGGAGACTGAAACACTGGGAGAGAGCACCTGATTATGGCGCTCATGCAGTTTTTAGTTGCAATACTCACTAGGGTCCACACATCCATGCAGTATTGGGGATTATGCCTGCCTACAAGGCATGAGACCTTTTGAATTTGAGATCTTTCCAGACTCGAGCAATTTCTTATTTCTTCAGTCTACCATTCTTGGCTGATTACTCCCTGAATATTGCTGGAATTATAAAAATTCTACTCCTTGGCCTCTACATTAAGGCCCCCAAACTCTTTCCTGAAAGGGCATTTGTACTCTTATGCCCATTGCAGCACTATTCACAATAGCCAAGATCTGGAAACAACCTGTGTCCAAAATAAATGACTGCATAAAAAACTATGGTACATATACGTAATGGGATAATACTTGGTTATAAGAAGAGATAAAATAATGCAATTTGCTGCTGCATGAATGATGCCTCTGGAGAATATCATACTGAATGAGGTTAGTCTTCTAGAAGAAGAGGGACAGACAAAATGATGTCTCTCAAAAGTGGGATATAAGGAAACATAGTAAGGGAATAATAAAGGCCCAATGGCAATGGAAACTAAGTACTGGACTTCAATTGGAAGCATAACTTGGAGGGGTGGGGGGATGAGGTGAACAGTAATGGGGGACACTAGGACAATGGAAGAAGGAAGTGGACACTCTGGTGGTGGATATGGTACAAGAATGTTCTGTACAAGAGCTCCTACCATTGTATTGTAAATCACGGTTCCTGAAATAAAAAAAAAATTATTTGTATAATGAAGGTTTTAAATAAATGTTTTTCTACATAGTTTTTTAAAGGTATTAGTAATGACCATGTAAAATTTATTGTCATATTCTTGAGGCATATGGAAGGCTCTTTAAAAGTCCTCAAGGCTCAAAAATGATATGAATGAGGTTAGATCACATTTTATCCTGGTGGGTATTTTCTAGTGGTCCATTTTAGCAAAATGGAAGTAGTGAGAAAATTGCATCAGATTAGATAGAAAGTTGGGGGTGACATGGATCTGGTGAGGGGATCAGCTGACTTTAGGTTTTTTAATGAGCTCACAGTTCTGGAAAGTTAGTGCCCTGGTAAAAAGGGAGCAGAATTAGATAGAGTCTCTACAGTCCTCTTTGATTAAGAGTGTCAACTGAGGGAGAGTTATGTCATTTAAGAGAAAGTCTTCCAACAGTAGTCAGTATGAACTCTGTGTGTGTGTGTGTGTGTGTGTGTGTGTGTGTGTGTGTGTATGTAACAATTACTCAATGTAGATACAGATTTTAGGCATTTCTGGTGCTTTTAATTTTAGTTTTGAATTGCTGTGGGATTATACATCATAATATCATAACATATATTATGATGTTGAAAATAAGTTGTTAAGAAGAGAAGTGGTATATTCTGGTGGGTCTGGTATTAAAATTACATATGCATGAAACTATCATTAACAGTATGTATATCACAGCATCTCAATAAAATAAAAATGCAATGTTTTATAAATTAAACAAAAGGAAAAGTTCTTAAATATGGAAAATTAAGCACAAAACATTTAATATGTTTATTAAACATGTTGAACAGATTTTATGTTTAATAACTATTATATTTAATAATCACTAAATATGGAAAAATAAGTTGTCACTAAGGAAACCACATAATATATCAGAATATTTGTCTTTTAATTGCTTTTCCTCCTTCTTTTACAGTTATGTTAATATAGCTACCAGGAAATCTCCAAAGATGAGAAAGTTAAAGGAAGTAAGTATTCACTGCTAACGACTAAGGATGCAGTAAATGGAATGATTTGGTAAAAGTTTAATGTTAGTGTTGAATAATTGAAGTTTTGTAAGAACAGAATTTTGTCAGGAATTGCTCTTGAATCAAGAATTCATTGTACAAACTTGTCATGCTTGTCAAAGCACTGAAGTGACTAAATGACAGAAGTCAGAAAAATACTCCCAGACCACAGTTAGGGAAAAAATCATCTTTGAGGTACACTGTGCAATTATTTATGAAAACTTCTCACTCTCTTTTTGCTTTTGAGGATTTAGAAAGATAGGTGTCAGGAAAAGTTATTTTCAGTCACACAATGTCAAATCTCATTATCATGTTAAATGTAAAGATTTGCCTTAAGATTTCAATATTTTTGTACGTGACAGACATTTGAAAAGTCTACATATTCAAATTTTCCTTCACACTATTCACATCACTTGATTCTTAGTAAAGTAGCTTAACATATAAGTTAAAAGAGACCCATTATTATTATAAGCAATGAGTCACCAGGTTTTCTTTAATATATATTTATTGAGGTAACTTGTTAACAGGAGTGTAAATGTTTCTGCTTTAAGGATCTATTAATGCTACCTTATACCTATCAACCAAAGTGCTAATAATACTTCACTACAGTCCCTAGGACTGATTTATCCCACTCCCTTCACACCCTGGATAATCTAACTCTCCATCAGAGTCAAAGAATTTGTTTTCATTGGACATTGGCTAGAGCGATAGCACAGCGGTAGGGCGTTTGCCTTGCATGCAGCCAACATGGCCGACCCGAGTTCGATTCCTCTGCCCCTCTCGGAGAGCCCGGCAAGCTACCAAGAGTATCTTGCCCGCATGGCAGAGCCTGGCAAGCTCCCCGTGACGTATTGGATATGCCAGACACAGTAACAACGAAGTCTCCAATGGAGACGTTACTGGGCCCGCTTGAGCAAATCGATGATCAATGGGGGGGCCTTTACTTTACTTACTTTTAGGGGACATTGTATATCTCTTTGTTCTCTTAATTTTTTTTTTTTTTTTTATTAGTGAAAAACCATGAGGTACAGTCATAGGCTTACAAATTTTGTGCTTGGGTTTCAGCTATACAATGATCAAGTCCCCATACCTCCACCAGTGCCCGTCATCCATCCCCATGGGTCCCAGCATCTCCCCCCTCATCCCCCCCCCCCCCGTCCCATCCTGCCTCTGTGGCAGGGTATTCCCCCTTGTTCTCTCTCTCTTCTTTTGGGTACTGTGTTTTGCAAGAGAGGCTTTGAGTGGCAATCATGTTTGGTCTATCGACTACTTTTAGCATGCTTCTCCCACCCTGGGAGGGCCCTCACAACACCCTTCATTTGGTAATCTCTTCTCTATCTGAGCTTCCTTTTCACCTAGAGCCTGTGGCTGGCCTTCCATTCATGGAGCAAAATTCCTGGTACTAATCTCAGCCATTCCTGTGTGTCACTCTCACTTTTTGTTGCTTTATGTTCCCCAGATGAATGCAATCTTTCTGTGTCTATCCCGCTCTTTCTGACTCATTTCGCTTAACATGATACTTTCCATGTAGTACCACTTGTATGTAAATTTCATAACTTCATCTTTTCTAACAGCTACATAGTACTCCATTGTGTAAATGTACCAAAGTTTCTTTAACCAGTCATCTGTTCTTGGGCACTCAGGTTTTTTCCAGATTCTGGCTATTGTAAAGAGTGCTGCAATGAACAAACAATTGCAGATGTCACTTTGACTATACCTTTTTGCCTCTCTGGGATATATTCCCAGGAGTGCTATAGCTGGGTCAAATGGCAGATCAAATTCTAATTTTTTGAGAGTCGTCCATACTGTTTTCCAAAAGGGTTGGACCAGCCGGCATTCCCACCAGCAGTGAAGGAGGGTCCCTTTCTCGCCACATCCGCGCCAGCACCGGTTGCTTTTGTTCTTGTGGATGTGGGCCAGTCTCTGTGGTGTGAAATGATATCTCATTGTGGTTTTGATCTGCATCTCTCTGATGATTAGTGATGTAGAGCATTTTCTCATGTGCCTTTTTGCCATTCGAATTTCTTCTTTGCGAAAGTTTCTGTTCATTTCCTCACCCCATTTTTTGATGGGGTTGGGTGATTTCTTCTTGTGGAGTTTAACCAGTACCTTGTATATCCTTGATATCAACCCCTTGTCGGATGTGTACTTGGTGAATATCCTTTCCCATTCTGTAGGCTGTCTTTGTATTTTGGTCACTGTTTCTTTGGAGGTGCAGAAGCTTCTTAGTTTAAGATAGTCCCATTTGTCTATCTCTGTTTTCACTTGCTCAGCCAGTGGCGTGACATCTTTGAAGATACCATTAGCTTCAATATCATGGAGAGTTTTGCCGACTTTGTCTTCAATAAACATTATGGATTCTGGTCTGATGTTGAGGTCATAAATCCATTTTGATCTTACTTTTGTGCATGGTGTTAGGCAGAGATCTGAGCCCACTTTTTTGCATGTAGCCGTCCAATTTTGCCAGCACAGTTTGTTGAAGAGGCTTTCCCTGCTCCATTTCACTTTTCTTGCCCCCTTATCAAAAATTAGATGATTATATGTTTGGGAGGAAATGTCAGTATATTCAACTCTGTTCCATTGGTCTGCAGCTCTGCTTTTGTTCCAGTACCATGCTGTTTTAATTATTACTGCCTTGTAGTAGAGTTTGAGGTTAGGGAGGTTGATTCCTCCCATTTTCTTTTTCCCAAGAATTGCTTTAGCTATTCGCGGGGGCTTATTGTTCCATATAAATTTCAGGAGTGTTTGCTCCATTTCTTTGAAGAATGTCATGGGTATCCTTATAGGGATTGCATTGAATTTGTATAGTGCTTTGGGAAGTATTGCCATTTTGATGATGTTGATTCTCCCCATCCATGAACAGGGGATATTTTTCCATTTCCTCGTGTCCTCTTTTATTTCCTGAAGTAGCGTTTTGTAGTTTTCCTTGTACAGGTCCTTTACTTCCTTAGTTAAGCTAATTCCTAGATACTTGATTTTCTGGGGCACAATTGTGAATGGGATTGTTTTCTTGATGTCACTTGCTTCTCTTTCACTATTTGCGTATAGGAATGCCATGGATTTTTGGGTATTGATTTTATAGCCTGCCACTTTACTATACAAGCCTATTGTTTCTAGGAGTTTCTTGGTAGAGGTTTTAGGGTTCTCTAAGTATAGTATCATGTCATCTGCGAATAGTGAGAGCTTAATTTCTTCTTTCCCTATCTGGATGCCCTTAATATCTTTTTCTTGCCTAATCGCTATTGCAAGTACTTCCAGTACTATATTGAACAGTAGTGGAGAGAGTGGGCATCCTTGTCTCGTCCCTGACCTTAGGGGGAAGGGTCTCAGTTTTTCCCCATTGAGGATGATGTTTGCTGTAGGTTTGTGGTAGATGGCTTTAACTATATTGAGGAAAGTCCCCTCTATCCCCATTTTGGCAAGGGTTTTCATCATGAATGGGTGCTGGATCTTGTCAAAAGCTTTCTCTGCGTCTATTGATATGATCATATGATTTTTATCTTTTCTTTTGTTGATATGATGGATTATGTTGATTGATTTCCGAATGTTGAACCATCCTTGCATCCCTGGGATGAATCCTACTTGGTCATGATGTATGATCTTTTTGATGAGTTGTTGTATTCTATTGGCTAGTATTTTGTTGAGAATCTTCGCATCCGTGTTCATCAGGGATATTGGCCTGTAGTTTTCTTTTCTTGTGGTGTCTTTGTTTCCTTTTGGTATTAGAGAGATATGGGCTTCATAGAAGCTGTTTGGGAGAGTTTCTGTTTTTTCAATTTCCTGGAAAAGCTTGAGAAGAATTGGCAATAGGTCCTCTTTAAATGTTTGGAAAAATTCGCTAGTAAATCCATCTGGGCCTGGGCTTTTGTTTTTGGGAAGACTTTTGATTACAGTTTCAATTTCCTTGATGTGAATGGGTCTATTCAGGTACTCTATATCTTCTTGATTCAGCTTTGGGAGATGGTAGAGATCCAGGAATTTATCCATTTCTTCTAGGTTCTCGTGTTTCGTGGCATAGAGACTTTCAAAGTAGTCTCTGATGATCTCTTGAATTTCTTTAGTTTCTGTTGTGATATCCCCATTCTTATTTCTGATTCGATTTATTAGGGTTCTCTCTCTCTGTTTCTTTGTGAGTGTTGCTAGTGGTTTATCTATCTTATTTATTTTCTCGAAGAACCAGCTCTTGGTTTCATTGATCTTTCGGATTGTTTCTTTGTTTTCCATGTCGTTGATTTCTGCTCTAAGTTTTATGATCTCTTTCCTTCTGCCTGATTTAGGCTCTTTCTGTTGATCCTTTTCTAAGGTCTTGAGCTGTGAGGTCAAATTGTTTATGTGCATCGTTTCTATCGACTTAAGATAGGCTTGCAGAGCTATAAATTTTCCCCTTAATACAGCTTTCGCTGCATCCCATAAGTTCTGGTAGTTTGTGTCTTCATTCTCATTTGTTTCCAGGTATCTTTTGATTTCATCCTTGACTTCGTTCCTGACCCACTCATTGTTCAGCATCGAGTTGTTTAATTTCCAGGTGTTTGATTTGGTTCTCCGTGTCTGTGTGTGATTCACTTCTATCCTCAGTGCATCATGGTCTGAAAAGATGGCTGATACTATTTCTATCTTCTTGATTCTGTTGAGGTGTGTTTTGTGTCCTAGCACATGGTCTATTTTGGAAAATGTTCCGTGCGCACTGGAGAAGAATGTGTATTCTTTCTTTTTGGGGTGTAAAGCCCTGTATAAGTCCATAAGCCCTTTCTCTTCTATTACTTCTTTCAAAGCCAATAATTCCTTGCTGGGTTTTGTTCGTGTTGATCTATCCAGAGGTGATAAGGCGATGTTGAAGTCTCCAAGTACTATTGTGTTGGTAGTGATGTCCTCCTTAAAATCTGTTAGTAGTTGTTTTAAATATTTAGCTGTTCCCTCATTAGGTGCGTATACATTTAAGAGTGTGATTTCTTCCTGTTGTA